AGAGAGAGAGAGAGAGAGAGAGAGAGAGAGAGAGAGAGAGAGAGAGAGAGAAGGAAAAGAGGGAGAAGAAAAATTAATTATTTTAAATACATGATGTTGGCTGACAATGTGACAATCATGTCAAATGATTAAGGAGCGTGTATTGAACTATTTCTTTTGGTAAGTGTTTTATGGCGCTTGCAAACTGCACACGGTCAAATGAGCGCGCGGGGCACATTTATCATTTTCAGTTAGGTAGGAATTAATTTTGCTTCTTGCCTGGGTAGCTGCCGAAGCCTACTCTTAATGATTTTAGTACCACCAAGGGGATCTTTAACGTGCCAACTTCCACAGAGGACCTCCTGGATTTTTTTGCCCTTATCCGAGAAGGCTAGGTGGTAGATCAGGGGTGTGGCTGGAAGACAACAGTAAGAAGGAGCAAATGAGCAGAAATAAAAAGACAGAAGAAAGACTCAGGAGCCCAGAGAGGGGGCAAAGAAGACGGTGGAGGGGGGCAGAAAGTTGAGGCGAAAGCAAAAGACAGAACATGATTAAAGGGCACGAAAAGAGGTGAAGGAGAGCAACCCGGTACCAATTGAATGAGAGACGAACACCGTATCTGGTCGCTTTAAAGGACAAGTGGGCTAACCCAGATTACGGGAGTTTCCAGAAATCTTGACCTACACCAAAAGTGGACATTGTCCTACCTATAGGAGAAGATCGGTTTCATTGGTGTGTATATTTGTTTGGTTATAGAGAAAACTATCCTTGTTTTTTAAGAAACTGAACAAGGAGCAAAAACTTTACCTTCGATTTTCTCAAAATGGCATTTTTCGGGATAACCCCCTTGAGCTTAAAAGTGACCATCTCTAGATCACGAGAGCCCCCTGCTTTCGACTATAAGTACAGTGATAGCCATATGTGACCCAACGCACAAACGAAAGTAATAACATTCGGTCTTCCACTGAAGCTTGTCAATCTCCCTCTACCCCTCACCTGTAAAGTGCCCTAAATGTAGCATTGAACTTAACCACTGATATTCTTTACAACTGTGCATAAAGACAGATGACCAGAGGGGGAACACTTTGAACGTGAATAGGATTCTTTTATATGCAAGCGTATTATGGCCCCATCGAAACAATAAAGATCGTTTAAGAGGCGTGCTTTGACCATGCCTATCAGAACCAACTTGGGCTGAAAAGAATACAATATGCCATCAGAAAGATTGATATACACATGTACTCGATGAAAACTCTCAGGGCTGGGGAATCGAACTCAAGTCTCCTGCTTGCTATGCCGAAACGCCTGACCACTACACCACAGACGCATGTGAATTGAACACTATAATAGTTCTGTCAATCGTATATCTGACTTGCTACTACGCGTCATAGACGGGCTCCCCCAGAGACTTGATTTATAACATCCTAGTTCGGGCACTGTCATGGCCGCCGCTCTTTGGTCTCTATTAAAATTAAAACTTCGCTACACTGGTGTGCACCATGGCTGTCCAAATGAATGGCAAAACACCGGCCTCGCTACAGTCGATTTTTTAAACAAAATTTCTCTCCTTTCCCTGCATTTGGTTCTAAATTAAGTAAAACACCAATACTAAATATAGTTGGACAAAAGCAAAGAAAAAGAGTATTGGGCATTTGCAAGGTGTTGGGCTTTACCTTCCCAATTAGTCCTTTGATGTTGTTGCTCGCATCCTGCTTGTGGCCCAAAGTGGCGTCAATGAAGAACAGTGCAGCCGAGTTGTTGAATGGGCCGATGTCGGAGAGTGACACGCCGAGACCATTTTTCGAGTTGCCTTTTTCTTCTGTGCCATGGATATATTGAGACGGTATAGACTTGTATTCTCCGTCCTTTACAGCAATGATCTTAGGTTTATTGACTTCATAGGTTCCATGTTCACCAGCTTTGTTCTTTTCATTCTCGAAGGGATATTGAGGGTCACTACTATGAGGGTCTGTGTCATGTCCGATTACGCCAGAGCTCACTCCAGCAAAGAAGAGAAATAAAATGAGACCCATGGGAACTTTCATGCCTGTACGTGTCTCTTCCTCCTTGCAAATGAAGAAATATATTATCTGCAACAATAAAGACATAAAAACTTAAACATATTTTTATGACATGTCCGTTTAAATGTCAAGGATATGGAGAGAAGAAAACATTACTATTCTCTTTCAAAAAGGTTGGTGCCAATTTTTTTTTTACATTCTAAAATTGAAACTAACATTTAAAAAAACATGAACATGTTCTGGAATTATAGCAAATGTCTGTATTGTGGCTGTTGAGGATTTTTTAATTACTTAGCTTGGAATTCTTGATATTTTGACTTGCTTCTGACTGCTTAGTGGGCATCTAAAACATCACACACACACACACACACACACACACACACACACCACACATTAACACCAAGG